CCCAGTTTAGATTTTGTGCATGCAGTGCTGTCCTGTTCGAGTAACAAATTGTGGTTTGATCAAAAAGCTTTTCTGTCCCTAAGTAATAACCAAATAAGATTGTGTCTTGTTATTCTCTTCTCTGGTAGTGTAACAAAAATGATTATTTCAAATAACTTCTTGAGCTTTATGATTTTTTAAAACTTTGGCAAAAGCTAATTTGCTTGGTATTGTCAATATGTTGAAACTGTCTTCATACGGAGCTTGCTAGAGGTGCCAAATCCTGTGGTCCCTTTTGCAAACAATTTTTGGGGATGTGTTTGAGTTCAATGGGGTATCTTTTTTCTGTTGTTTTAGATGCAAATCTATTGTGAATTTTTATAGAAGCTTTATTGTATTTCTAGGTTGCAAATTAGTTTTATTCTCAAAGAGCAAATAAAAAATGTGTTGTATACTACAGAACACTAATGCAGTTTTCTAGGATGTTTGCTCTCTCTGCGGTGAGAACAGCATCCTTGCTTAAACAAGGAAAGAGCAAAATGCGTTTTGTTTGGGAATTCCCATGCTTTCTAATTCTTGCAACATCTTTGTTGGTAAATTCATTTTTGCTTCCAGTTTCTAACCCTCTGTACTAAAGTTGGCATGAGTTAAGTAACAACGAATTGTTCTAACCTTTATTACAGTGTATACAGCTTGAAATATTCACTGAGATCCAGCCTCGGATACTTGAGTACCACTTGTATTGAACAAGAGTAGTGGCAGAAATGGACCTCAGTGAGATATGACAGGCTGGAGCAAGCAGTGTCACCTGTCTGATGACCAGAACATTCTCTGCTTCTGTTACTCTGCAGAAGTGTGAATATAAGCATAACACTGGCTGCAGGAGACGTGGCTGAAATAACGTAATCAACAGTGCACAGAACCGACCTTGGTGACTCTGCCTCTTTTTATGTGCTTGTCTGTCCTGAAAGGTGATTGTCTAAGATTCAACAGTTTTAAGACATCTAGAAGTCATATTATTTTGTTGTGATGATTTTTCCCAGGCATGAGAAACTGGAGCTTGAGAAATAGTTAGTGGTGAATTAGGAGTTAAGAGGTAGCTTACTGAACAAGAACCAGAGTCTTTGACTTGATGGCAGCTTGCCGTGCCTTTAGGAATCGGAGGGCCCCACCAGGCCTCGTGTATCTTGAACGTTCTAGCCAGACTCCTCTCCCTGCTTTCTGGAAGTGTGTTACCTTCACTGCTGTAAGTACGTAGTATCTTACTGAGCTGTGACTTCAGAATTGCTTCTTGTTGGCAGTTTGAAATGTCATTATGTGGGTATAATCTGAGCCCTGCTGTTAAAGGTTCCTGAAAAGGAAAAGACAGCATTGCAGGTGACACCCTGTAGTGCTATGTAAACCATCATAGAAAGCTGTTTGCAAAAGGGTGGCAGCTGAAATGTGTGCGTTACCTGCGCTTGTGCTCACCACTGATCCGTATACAGGTGTAAGAGCATGTAACTCGCATGCACGAGGCCATAGCTCTGTGCCTACGGATTCGTGGGTGCAGTTTGATAGACGCCACGTCTCCCCACCCCCTTGTTAAATGCAGCGCTTTCATTGTAGTAAGGAGATTTTGGTGTTCTGTTAAGCTCAGTTCTCTATTGAATTTTATTGCAGTACTTCATGAACGGCTTCCCAGTTTTGCTGCTTAAGAAAATGCTGTCGGTTCAGAGTATTGTGGAAGAGAGTTCCTCACCAAGCTGGCTACTCTGCTGCTCTGCTTGTTTAGCTTTTCTGGTCTGGCATACATCTGCATAAAACAGAAATATAAAAGCCGGGGCACACAAATCTGACTTAGCCATATTGCATAATAAATTGTATTTATCAGTGTGCTTTCTGGTTGTTTTCTGTGACAAGATATCCAATACATCAATTCCAGAAGTGAAGTCCTGTGGAACCCTGGGCAGCTTATTTTGGTGTGAAATCTCTCTTGCCAGCTGGTCCAGCCCCTGAGCAGTTTCATATCTCTGTGAAACTCTCACCTGCTGCTCATTTGGTATTTGGCACTCTTTCTCAGTTAAAACTTGAATATTCTCTTTCTCACCCCTGCCTGCCTCCTGGTGACCAGTTACTCAGTTTCCATGAAGAAATCGTGTTATTGGAAGATGTCACCTCTCTAAGCATCTTTAGCTTCTTTTTGCTTGGAAGAAACTTAATGGGGAAACAGACATTCAGTGGTTGTGCTGTATGACTTAACAAGTTCAGGAACTTTGTGCTTCTTGACCTGCCAGTTCTCCTGTCAGCACCTCTTTTAGTGCCTCGCTTTCTGGGTTGCTTCTGTGGGTCAGAGTCAGGCCATGGCTTGTTCTACTCTGGCATTTTAAGGAAAATCGCATTCCCTTTGTTATTTTTACCAGTCAGCGTGCTTGAAGTTGGCTTTTGACTTCAAGAGTTCAAAGAATGGTAGAGTTTTCGAACATGATAAAGAAATGCACTTGCAGAGGGAAAAGAGTAGATATAAGTGGTAGATAGATACTAATCTAAATTGGACAACTGAAAACCTTTACAGATTCCTAAACTACAAGTTCCAAATGAAGCTTTTCCCACAGTTGTGCACAAGAAGGAAATCCATAGGTAGCTACGTTTCACCAGTCTGGATGCTTGTGGAGTTGCGCTTGTTTTCCTTTCTCGCTGATCTCCTTTTCTTTTACAACTGCGACAAACTGCCAAGTCCTAAGCTCATGACTGGGTTCCCCTCTGTCCAGCCACAGATGTTCAGCAGTGGCAGTTGTGTCTTGTGCAATCTCTAAAGCCAGGCTACTTTTGTCAGCTGCTTTCCTTTCTCACTCATGGCACTTTTCTTAACCTCCTTGTCTCTCGGACTCTTGTTCTCAGCATCACATCTCATTTCTTGTGTGCTGGTTAAAGTGTCTTGAATTGCCTCTTCAGTGTCATCATTATCCGTTTGGGTTTTTTCATGCTTGCTGCTGAAACTCTAGTTCAGGCTTTGCTTACTTCCCTGGTCTGAATAATCTGAATTTCCTCATTAATGAGAACTGCAAGTTACTTTCAGTTCAGCACTGATTTTTCTTTTTTTTTCAGATATTGTTCTGCCAAGGCATTAGACTCTGTAGTCTTTGAAAAGCAGACAAGAATTTATAATTCTGTTTCAGTTATTGTAGAAACTTTTTTTGGGTTTTTTGTTTGTTTGTTTGTTTTTTGTTTGTTTTTTTTTTTTGTTTTGGTGGTTTTGAATAAGACTCAATCATCGGATTCATGTACCGAGTTATGAGGATGGTTTCTTTGGGCTCTGCCTGTGTTTGATGGAGATACAGAGAAGCTTTCCCCTGGGGCGAGGGACAATGAAGTGTGGGTTTGTCATTCAACACCATTATTCTTGCTCAACTGATGGCAGTAAAGACATGACATGGTATCAGCGATGAGTTGCAATGATTTTCTCTTTTGTTTCTAGAAAAAACAGTTGGCATCAGAAGTGAAACAAATTTCCTTGTCTGTTTAGTCTCCGTGGAGAATTCTGTACCAGAAGTATACATGCAGGAATGATCTACGAGAAAATACGTTTAATTGCAAGTACTTGTTTTGGGCTTAGCGAGGGAAGATAAGAGGTCACAAAACCAAGAAGGTTTATGTATTTGGGATGTGAGGCTTTTGACTCCCTTTGTGGTATTGGTGGACATCCTTTTATAATTGAGAAATGAACTGGGCCTCACTTCTTCATTCTACTTGTTAAAGTTGAATTATAACTGTAGAGCAGTGGAATAGGTTTATATTTCAAGCGTCAGTCAACATGGAGGGAGAACTGAAGTATACCTTTCTCTTGTAAATAGCCAGGCATTTCTCTTGTGTAAATAGGTGGTGTATCCTCTAGCTGTGCTTTCCCCTTCGTGTGCTGAGGTCTTTTAAGACCACTTACATTAGTTTGACCATAAGATAAGCAAGGAAATTGTTGAAAACAGGTTTTAAAATTTAACCTGGGGTATTCTTCTGTTGCTCTGCTAATGCTTTGCATGCTGACCTAGAAGAATCACATTCCAGGATAACAGGTACTCAAAATTCAGTCTTCAACTGCATTTAATTTTCTCAGCTGCCTGTCAGTTGTGCTTAGTCCTGGTGAATGAAGTGGCCATGTTACGTAGGCCTTTCTCCTCTGTCAGTTAGACTGGTATCACTGTTCTCTTCGTATGGGGATGTATGATGAAATGGTTGGAAAGTGTTTTGTAAGTAAAAACCTGTTCTTGTGTACTAAACCAGACTTAAAGCAGCATGTCTTACACTCTGCTATTGCATGGCATAGACAGGAAAAGCTGGCAGTGGGGCTGCGTAGAGTCCAGATACCCCTGCTTGTGTGCTTTTTGCAGTAGTGTCTGAGTAGTAACGTGCATGGTACTGTACCAGTGCACGTTCTCCACCACACCACTTGCTGCTGTTCTAATAGTACGATGTCAATATTCAGGGCATTTTTCAGAGAGAACGAGATATGGAAGAATGCAAGCTCTAATCTTATTTGTTCCTAGAGTGGTGCCTGTAATTAACTAACACTTTGCTTTCAGGACTAGGTTTTAATTCTTGACCTTCTTGGCCTTTGAAAAATGTGGTGTGTTTTACAGATATGCTATGCTTAATATACTTAGGCAGTTATGTATGCGTTATGTTCACATGATGTGTGGACACACATCTGTTCTTAGTGCTTTCTGCTTTTACGTGCTCTCTCAGAGATGTTGTGCTTGTTTTATTAAAATGTTCCATCTGAACATGAGGAAGAACTGCTTCACTCTGAGGGTGATGGAGCACTGGAACAGGTTGCCCAGAGAGGCTGTGGAGTCTCCTTCTCTGGAGATATTCAAGACCTGCCTGGACAAGATCCTGTGCAGCCTGCTGTAGGTGACCCTGCTTCGGCAGGGGGGGTTGACTAGACCCACAGAGGTCCCTTCCAACCCCGACCATTCTGTGATTTTGTGATTCTATGGAAAAAGAGGTCTTCATTTCTCAGAAGTTTTCTCATTTTTGCTTCACAGAAACTATCTTGGAGCATGGACACGAGTAAGAAGACAGAACCCCCTTTATCTGTAGAAATGGTACAACAAAGGGCCAATCCTGATCGCAGTCCTTCAGCATCGATTTATGTTCCAGAGCAAGGTGGCTACAAAGAGAAATTTGTAAATGCCGTGGAAGATAAGTATAAATGTGAAAAATGTCACCTCATCTTATGCAATCCTAAACAGACTGAATGTGGACACAGATTCTGTGAGACCTGCATGAATGCCTTGCTAAGGTATGTGTTTTGTTGTGATAGAACATGTTGATACTGTTAAATCTCATGAACTGCTGAAAATAGTGTGGACACCATTGTAGTTTCAGGAATACATTAAGCTAATGCCCTGGCTCAAAGCAGCCTTCTGCTTGTTGCTTGCTTGCTTATTTGTTATCCCTATGCTAGTGCAAACATATGCGTTCTGCTCTGGGTCAGGATGGGACAACTAAGCTTTCCATCGATATTCTTGAAATGGTTGTTGTAGTGGTTTAATCCCATGTAGTGATGTGTTAGGTAAGAATTTCGTTTCCTCTGGAGCCTTGACTGAGTAGCTATTTCACGTGATTGCTAACATTGCTGTTTTGGTGTAAAATACACTCAGTAAATCCTGGCTGTGGGAGGAAGTGAGCCTGCAGAGGCTCCTTAGGCTGGTAGTACCTAACCGAGCTGTGGACCCAGACTTACATTTGAGTGGTGGGACCCCTGGATAAATGTAACTGCTTGTGGAGCTTCCTCTTCCTGTGACCCTTCTAGCTGTATGTCCTGGGGTTTTATGTTTTGTGCATTCTGCTGGCTTCTCTGTTACTGAAATATTTGGGCCAGAGTGCAAAGTGGGTGTGTGAATGTTACAGACACAAAATGACTACTGAGAGATGCATTCTTTCCCAGTCTAGGTAATAATAAAAGTGTGATCATTCAAGGGGTAACTAGCTTTTAAGAAATATCTGTACATCCATAGAAATATATTTCTTTGCCTCTCAACTTTAATGCATTGCAACTGATTGTATTCAGCAGTCTGATTTCAAAACTAGTGTTTGGAGACTATTCTGTAGGATTTTATCTCCTGAGGTAAATAAGCAGTCAGTACTTCCATTTACTACTGGCAAAGCAGAGGTTCAGAAGAGATTGAGCTCACTGAATGTTGCACACTGGACTACTAACAGAGAGGGGATTTGACTTTGGAAGGTCTTGATGATCTCCAGTTTACTTTTTGTGACCATCCTGACTCTAGGTATTAGTATATATTTCAGTTGGAAATACTGTAATCTCAGATAGATATACATCAAGACTACATGCAGCAGGGCAAAAGAGACTGGAGGATATTACATTACTCTGTCTCACGATAGAGTAACCTCTGTACTGGGCAAATACAAGGGCCCATAGCTCACTAATCCACTGCTATAGGTTTTGTGCTACAGCGTACCAAACTTAAAACAACAACAACAAAACCCCACCAACTTTACTTTCAATACACATTTTCAGGTGAGCTGTGGTTTCTGTTCAAGAAATGCAGTTATTTCTTTCTGAATCTATGTTTTTGGAAGACTCTTACATGGTTAATAATGGTGACTGCAGATAAGCAAACACTTGCCATGCTTGGATGTGTGCAGATGGACAGAGCAGATCCTTAACAATCTAAGCAATAACAATTCTGGCATTGCTGGAATCTGGGCAATTTTCCTTCCCTGCTGTGAGACATGCACATGTGCTTATTACAGTGCAGCTAGAATATGTGTAATTTTACCTTCTTGAGTTTCCAACCAATCTGTTATTGAAAAGGACACATGGGTAAGACCATCTAGCAGAGGGCTCTTTCACTCGAGTTATTTCACTGTATTTAAATGCTTGTTGCAAATAAATCCTTTATTAAAATTAAATTTACAGCTCCTTGTTTCTGAGAAATAGAAAGTGTGCCATAAACCTGGAAGCAAAATAAATTTACATTGTTTTTGTATTTGGCACAAAAATTTTTCATTCAGTGTTGCTACGCTGCTGCGCATACAGACTGATTACATGCTAGTAGGTTCTGTTCCAGGGTTATTTGAGGACAAAGAATTGGGAGTCAGTGTAGATAACATGGTGAAGATGGCTGCTCAGTATGCAGCAGTAGTTTAAAAGAACAAGTGGGATGCTTGAGTGCATTCAGTAAAATCGAGGAAAGCATGACCTTGTATTAAATACTATATGCCCTCAAGCAGATTAATTGTTCCCTCCCCCCTTTTTTTTTTTTACTTAAAAATATTACAGAAGCTGCAAGGTAGTTAAGACGCTCAGAAGTATGATGAGGCAGAATGGTCAGTTCAAGGAGCAGGAGGCAGTGAGATGATTTGAAATAGCCATACTGATTATGGAACATAATCAAACTTATTCAGCCTTTCGCATTGATTTGCACTGCTGCTGGCAGCTGCAGCTTACGTAGCTTGTCAATATGTCGCTTTACAAAAGAATTTACCTAGCTTTTACCTAGTGCTTTTCATCCTTAGATCTCAGTGCTTTGCAGGGGTAATCGGTATGGTTATCGCCATTTTACATGGGGAAGAGTAGCTAAAAAGGAATGAAGGGGTTTACGCTATGACACCTAGCAGGTCAGAGCCAGAAACAGCTGTAGGAACCCAAGCTTCCTACATTCCAGTTCAGTTTCTCTTCGCACACTGCTCTGCTCCTCAACTTACCTGTTGTCTTAAGAGATCACAGGTTTGTTAATTAGATTACCCAAACAGCTACAGGGTAACAGTTCAGGTAAAGAATGGAGCAAGGATCTCTAACAGTTGCTAAAACCAGAACAGACTTGAAGGAGATGGCCATGAATACTTTTTTACCCTAAAAAGATGTATAACTGACTGTCTGGGAAAGTAAAGTTTAATTAGATGTTCTCTGAAAAAGGACTGGAGAATTCAAGAGACAATATTTTGCCTGTTTGAACAGATAGATTGAGAAATGACAAAAATTGTGGATCAGGTGCAGACTGTAAAATAGGGAATGAATTTTGTCATCTTGAAGAAAACCACTGTGCAGTTGGCTGGAGGCATTGTGATGGTCTGACTTCCTTGGGAATGCTCAGTGTTTACGTGTTTTTGAAATAACATCATGTTATCTCATTACAATGAACTATATCCACTTTTAATGATTTTAAAATATATTGAATAATTATAACTCAAGTGCCTCATAACTGGAATTTTTTGTACTACAAAAATTCAGATGAGTTAAAATAGTTTTTCTGTTTTCTTTTCTCTCCAGTTCTTCTAGTCCAAAATGTACAGCATGTCAAGAAAGCATAGTAAAAGATAAGGTATTGTTAAAACTGTTTCTTATTTGAGAGTATTGAATTGTGTGGCGTGCATAAGATGTGTTGTTGCTTTGTGGTCATTATTTCATAAGCCTAATAAGCTACCTGAGGAAGATAGTTTTGTTACAAAACCTAAACCATGTATTTTATATAGAATGACAGCTCATTTTTACTGTTAACCACATGGTAGAAAACAACATGTCAGCTTCATCCCTAATGGTCCAGCCAGGTGTCATGTCTTATTTTCATAGTTGGGAGCTGTGGCAACACTTTGCAGTTGTCCTCCCGTCAGCTGGGAGGATCATAAGAAATACTGCATCTCCTGTAGGTGCGGAGATGTGACAGCTCTAGGCAAACCTTCGTCCTGATCTCGCTCCAGACCAGCATCTACTGTTTCACTAAGCTGTTTTTACAGCATGGTGTTCTGTGAACCACACTGGAACCAGAACAGTGTGGAGTTACAAGAACTGTAATAGAATCAGATTCTTTTTATAGGGAGAAGTTATTTCACTGATACCCTCTTCACTGTTTTTCACAGCAAAACTTTGTGTTGCCTTTGAAAGGTTGAGGGTAAAGAAAATTCTTTTTGACTTAGTACATAGTTTATGCAGTTTTTACGTTCTAAAGTGTTTAGTAAATTCTTTGTGTTAGTATTTCCTGCCCAAATACTTGTAATAGTAACCATATTCCGGAAAAGGTTAGTGGGTATGTTAATCTCTTCTTGTCTTAACACAAAATAGTTCTCTGAACAGTGCTCAATGTAATTCAGTTTTGGCATGGATGGGCTCTCCAGGAGCTCAGGCCAATAATCATGATGCCTACTTTGTTTGTTGTTTTGACTCTGACTTACTAACTCCCAATATGTATAAATATGTAGATTTGTTATGAAACTTCAAATATCTCTAAAATAGGAGGACAAGAAAGGCAGTGTATATTAAATACATGTTAGACTAACTGTGCAAGTCAGTGATTTTCATAAAACTCTCTCTTCCCTTAGAATGCTGATGTCCAAAATCACTGAAGAGCTTTCAAATAAAACTGGAAAAACTGTTTAAAAATTATCTTCTTACCTTGACTTGAGTCAGCAAAACTGTACCTAGTAACCATATAAATTACTTTGGGAAAAATATAAGAGTCCTGACAAATTGATTATTCAAATGAGGCTTGTTGATTCATTAAATGTCACCTATGCAGCTGAAAAGTAAACGGAAGTCAGTGACCTGTGTCAGATGAGACTGGTTGCAGTGTTTCCTTCCTCACTGAGGATAGATTCGTAGTCACTGTGGACAGATCCGTTCGGAATTATTTGTGGTTGAATGGTTTGTCAGAGAAGCAGTCATAGGTTGGGCCGGGTTCTTTGGTATTGCTTAATGGTCGTGAAGGCAATTGCAGAAGAACTGGAAGCTGTTAACCTTTTGTTTTAGACTGCAGAGTAGTAGTAATGGTCTTCAGTCCTCATCCCTAGTTCCTGCCCCTTAGCAGTGGGGCTTCTTGAGAGTGCAGTTAAGTTGCCCCTTTATCTTTTATGAAGTATCACCCACAAAAGGTGAAAAATCCAAACCCAGAGCTCTCTATTTCTACCTTCTTGCAGTTCTATTGTAGGCAAAAAATGCTGGAAAGGCTTATAAATATTAAAATGGAGAGATAGTTAAAGCCTGCCTGTCTGTGAAATAATAAACTTCCTCCGGTCGAAGACCTTAGAAAATGTCCTTAATTGTGTGTTACCACTGAAGTGCAAGTCGGTGTTCCAACTGACCAGACCGTTCATTGAAGGACAGCCTTCTGTGAAATCCTTCCTCTCTAAACCACTGGGCTTTGGCTCTTTTTCGTCTTATGGTGTTGTACCTGATACACCAGCTCCCCAAACGATGTAGAGATTTCTAGCTTATGCAGCCCTATTATTGGCAAGCAGACAGCAAAATATTGAGTCCTTTCTTGTACCTTTCCCTTTATTGAATTTATAGTAAAAGTGAAACAGTAGTAGATCATCTGTCCAAATACTCTCTTTCATTGGGCTGCTTCATAGTGGAGGAATCTGTGGTGTGCACATTCAAGAAAAATGAATGATAGGATTTTATTTCTGCACATAAAGTTAGAATTAAATGATAGTGCGGTAGCCAAATTGCATGGCTTCTACTTTATTTGAACTTGCGTATTCTTGAGTGGTTTTAATTTCTAAAATTAAGTGATTTTTCAGGTATTTAAAGATAATTGTTGCAGGAGAGAGCTGCTTGCCCTTCAAATATACTGCAGAAATGAAAACAAGGGCTGTAAAGAACAACTATCTTTGGGTCAATTACTGGTAAGTAATCAACTATCTTTGGGTCAATTACTGGTAAGTAATCTAACATAGTCATAATCTTGCTTTTGAGTTAAAGAATGAGAAGAAATCTTGGAAATTAAAACCCTAGTCTGTTTCTTGACTTGCTCACACTAGTGGTTAATCTGATTTATAGATGTCAGAATAGGGTTAAACTGTTTTGAAACTCAGCTTTTTGATGAGCTGTAAGGAATTGTAGTAAAAAACCTTGTGATTGTGTGACACTAAAGCTTGGAAATGTGAACGCATGAAACGGATGAGAACTGGAGGGAGAACTAAAATTGGGAAAAATCTTAATGTGTACTTTACAAGTGTGAGAAATTTCAGTTCCTTTTTGGTGTGTTTTTATTTTTATTTACCAGTCTTAATCCTCTCATGTAAGTGGTGGTTTATGCATGGAGTTAAACCTTTGGCTTCCCCAGACTCGTACAAAGTAACTTGTAGCTTTGTTTTATGAAGGCATAACATAGCAGTGATTTAGCAGTTGGCAGGGATAGCTACACAACAGTCTGCAGTGAGATGTGTAGGTACTTGCTTTGAATGAGCAAGCTCAGTTACTTAACTTAAAGCAGCATTTATATTTATGTGGATTAATATACCTTGAAAAAGGATGCTTGCTGTTTTTTTTAAGTAGCCTGTGTGGAATTTTGGACTGTGGTAGAATGCTTTTAGTATAAAAGAAGCTTGCGTACATCTGTAATACAGTGAAATCTGCTGTCTAGGTAAATAGAGTGTTAAGTCAAAAATGTATTCCTGAGTAGATTTGTTAGTGTTTGCTCTTGCACAATATAGTACACAAAATAACTTTGCTGACTTTGGTTCTGAAGTTATTTAATGTAGGATGTCTCAAAGGATAGAAGACATGCACAAAACTTAGTTGCCTTGATTATTTTTCTTTTATTTTTTTTGTCTTTCAGATGCATTTGAAAACCGATTGTCAGTTTGAAGAACTCTCATGTCCTCGTGCTGATTGCAAAGAAAAAATACTGAGAAAAGATTTGCCAGACCATGTAGAGAAGACCTGTAAATACCGGGAGACAACCTGTAAATACTGTAAAAGCCAAGTCCCAATGATTATGTTGCAGGTGCAGTATTTTCTTGGGTATATAGAACAAGATTCCATGCATTAATATGGAATAGTAACTCCTTCTGTGCTTCTGTGTAGCTGCCAGTATAGCCTTGGTATCTCACAGTAAGTCACAAAAGACTGCCTTTCAAAACACATGTTTTTTTTTCCTGCAAAACCACCAACTACTGCACTGACTGGGAAACACTTTCTTTTTTCTAATGTTCAGATACTGCATTTGAAAAAAAATCAGACCCACTGCATAATGTTGATCCTAAAGTAATTTTTGCTCTGTTTTTTTATTTTGCTTAAATTGATATAATAAATGCAACTACCATCATAGAAATTAAATGTTGTGCAGGAAAAGCATTAAACGTCGCAACTGGCTTGAGAAATGGCATGGTTCTATATAATCCATCTTGCATACTGAGTGACCTGTTATGAGAGGAAAGGAGGAAACAATGTAAAAGCAAATTGTGTCTTGACATGACCAGCAATGGTACCTGACAGGCCTAGGCAGAGTTACTGCTGCTGTTGGCATACCAGTAGGTTGTCTGGTACGCAGCATGCTGTGAGTTACAAGTACAGAGCAGAGGTTGAGAAAGTCAGACTCCACACATGGAATGGTAACTTGACTGTGTTTGCATTACTTCGTATTGAACTGTAGTATGCTGAATCTCTCTTGCTAGAATTTTAAGTTTTTTTTTTTTTTTTAAGTTCTGTTTACATAGTTTCCATAGTTTGACAGTCTCAGGTTTTGGACCTTCTTAGTATAGTAAGAGTGATGGGAATTTAATTTTCATTTGTGTTCTTGTGTATTGTTTGTCAGGTCAAGTCTCACAAGGATGAGAAGCGTTCTTTGCTCAGAGATGTCGTTAGAAGAAGGCATAGGTAGAATCTCGCCAAGTTCTGATTTAGATCTGGCTTTCAATTGTTTGAGTGTATACTTGAAAGGGCTGCTACTTCAATAATTCTGCATTACCTAGCGTAGATGGCTGAGATGTGAAAATACACAGAGAAAATTAAGTTTGCACTGTGTTTTGTCTTGCACATTCTGATACAGAGTTGGAACGGTTTTTGGTTAGATTATGGATCTTGTTCTCTCAGAATTTTCCTTGGGCTGGAAATTGATGTGAGGCAAAGACTAATATTAAAAATGTGTAGTGTCTTAACAGACAAAATCAGTGAGTATGAAATAAGTCTTGTACAAACTGGATTTCCATATCTGAACAACATGCTCACAGGCTCCTTGTAGGCAGGTTTTTTTTATAGGAGCAATGTAGTTAAATTTTTGAGAGTCTGAGATCATCCTTGCATTTGGAAGAACATAAAACTCTTTTAGTTTAAGACCTTTCTCTTTTATCAGATGTTGATGAATTTAACATCTATGAAATATCTGAAGTAGCGGTAGCTTTCAAGATACTCAGAAGCTGAGAAGTTTTAGTCCATCAAATTTTTTAATTCACAGCAAAACGTATTTTAGACATTCACACTGGAAACAAGAATGGCATGTTACTATGAAGTACAGAAAAGAGTGTTTGTAAATAAAGTAATTGTTCTCCAGAATCTTAAGTGGTCAAATTCTGAGTTGCTTTAAGAGGTGATAGAATTGGCTTATTCATGGAGCCAAAGAGGCGTGTTAAAATGTACTTTTTGTTTGAGATGTCACTATTCTATTGCATTAAAGGTGGTACCACTATTCACCTGTCCTTAAAAGTTCTAAACAAATCTGCGTTTGTAAATCACAATGCTTCCAAGCAGCGTTACGTGTTCTCATGTTATCTTTGGCTGATATGTTTCAGTACATAGAAAAAGGGCAGTTTTGATTCCATGCTGCTTTAGGGATGCAGAAAGCTCTGCAATTAGAAGATTAGCAATTGGCTGCTTTTTAAATTTTTTTTTTTTTGCCTAGATTTTTAGAAGTTCAGTGATTTTTCAGAAATGCAGATAGTTTTGTTTGTTGTGGCCTGATAAAATGTTGCCTTGTGCTTTGATAATAAGAACCAGAAGCTTAATGAGACTGTACATTTGAATGAAAGGCTCCATTTGACTTGCATTTGAGTTTTGTCACCCGGGGCTTGAGTTCATCTCTAGCTTCTGTAACCTAAAATTTTCTCTAATGTAATAATGACTGAAGCAGGCCTCAGTGACTTGAACTGAAAATGGAGATAGAGGGAGCGTACCGAGAAAAAAGGTATGCAAATAGAAACAAAAATAATTTTACCGGAGTACGTGCTGTGTCTTCATAGAATCCCATGACTGGTGGGGTAGGAAATCCCCGTTGTTGGAGGCAGACTCTTTAGTTAACGATGTTAGTACGCATTTTTTTTAGATTGCATTTGTCTTGCCTGTACTGTCACTAGGTGAGCCAACTTCTTAACTACTTTTCTTTTGTTTAAACCATCTAAGAAGTTGGGGCTTTTTTTGTCACAAACCTACCTTCTCCATCCCATAACTTCTGGCAGATGAAGATGGTGTGGTGTTAAAACAGAAATTAGTACACTGAATTGCTTCTGAATTATTATATTTTTCTGTGGATAATCCACAGAACTACTTGAAAGTCGTGCTGCTGTGAGATTGATACTCGGGCAGCAGTAGTCTGATACAGGTGTGGAAGGACAGTGTTACTTCATCCTGGCCACAAAAGGCTGTCCCGGGCAGCCCATCTCGCTCCCTTGTTGTTGCTGTTCTGGAACCAGACACGGTCCTGGTGTGGCACTGGCTTCTCTGGGGAGCCCTGGCAATAACCTGCCTTCCCCCCATCTGCACCAAGGGCCCTGCATGTGGTGTCACCTGTGTTTTATGCTGCCTTTGGCTCTTTTGTTTTGCATGCTCGACTCTGAATTTAGCTGGTTGGTAGGAAGAGGATTCTGTCACTGGCATGGGATTGCTCTGGTACCTCCTGAAGGCATTGGAAAGGCTCCCCTTGGTTTCAGTGTGTGGGCCCTGGGGTGTGGAGGGGGGGCAGGAATCGGAGAGAGGGCTGAGAAGAAGTTGCGTGTTGCATTTTTATCATGAAGTGAGAGTCGGTGTCATAGCCTTTGCAAGACAGATTGAGTAGTTAGAGAAGAGGGTGAGAGAACTGGATTAGGGAGTGAATGTTGGAAGGGAGTATTACTTCCCTAGTTTTGTAGTTGATAAACCATTAAAGAAGCTTGTAGGGCAGCAGGCTCCCAAAGCTGCGTGGCAGTGCGTGATGTCTCTCCAGCATGGTTGCAGACGTGTTCAGAATGAGGGTCCCAGGTCCAGTTCTTCAGCCTGCACAGGAATGGCCCGGTGGGCCACTGCCTGTCAGAAGAATGCCGCCATCACCCTGGCAGAGGTTACCCTGAGGAGAGACGTTGCTGGTCTGCTAGCATTGCCCCGTGTTGGGTATCCGTGTCCCGGTGGGGAGGGACTGGAGCTGGCTCCTCACCCCCGCCTTTTGGGAGGCTGGCCCAGCTCTCTGGCTGAGGGGCACCTTCAGCTTCCTCGCTTGCTGTCACTGTGGCTGTCTGCATGTGCTACACCAGCTCAGCTAGTGCGAGGAAGGAGGATGGCAGGATAGATGTGCTTCAGACCAGGGTACCTGATGATCTGTTTTTCAAAGTAAGGAGGTACAAGTCTTCAAATATTTGCAGATTTATGACAGAGTTCTGAACCAAGGCCTTTCGCATCTTGGAGCTTGGGTCTCCTTTATGCCTTGGTTTTGTTTCAAAAAATAAACATCATTACTGGGCAAAAAGGGCATGTGATTTGTTCTTCCTTTTCTAACAGGCTTGTAAACCTAGGCCTTTGCTGGCTTTGCTTTTCTTAAGTACCAGAAATTAAACAGTTTGTTTCGAGTTGAATGGGACACGTCACTTGACATGAAACAAAACTTTTTTTTCCCAGATTTTTCATTTTCTTGAGAAAAACTGAGAAGAAATGTAAATTCAGTTAGCTTGGGCCTGATTTTCTTCCCTTCCTGTGGTGATATGGTTTGACAGCAATACTGAAGTGTCTGTCATCATCTAGGTTCAGACTGAAATGCCTGCCCAGCATCATGATAAAATCTCAACATCTCTGAACTTTGGGTGTATAACAGTGAGACTTGGTATCAGATGTTTGGAAATCAACATTAGAAAATAATTGGAAGGGGAATATCTGTACATAGGAAAGCAAGATTCTCTGAGAGTGGGCAATGTACGTTTCTGAAGTGCTTTTCCATACACTGTATACCCTTACTAAAAAGGACATCTGCAGTGGTGCTGCTCGTTTTTGTGAGGAATTCCTGGAGAAGAGAACTTGACTTTTAGTATTGTTTCATTGCTCTAAGTAAAAACAATAAAATGGGAAGCAAACAGATTTATTCTGTGTGGGAAAACAAGAAAACCCTTATTTTTCTTCAGAATATCAACACATCTATCGAAAGCGTAAACCGATGTTTGAGCAATTGCAGTTCTGTAACTCTGCACAATTGGGATCAACATTGAAAAAAATGTGTGTTTTTTTGATAATTGTAGGATGCTTTTCTGTGCAGGTAAGTACTCTCTTTAATTTCAAAGTAAGAGTTGATTTGTGGTTTGCTTTTTCCCCTGTAGAAACATGAAGATACAGACTGCCCGTGTGTCATGGTTTCGTGTCCTCATAAATGTAGTGTTAAAACACTCATGAGGAGCGAGGTAAGAAGTCATGCCCAGTGTTGTGCTGAAAAATTAAAGGACTTTTTTTTAGTAAGATCTCGCAAGAATTTTGCCAGAAGCCATTTCCTTATTAAAATGTGAGATCTAAAGAAAAGCTTTTTCTACCACACAGTTAAGTGTGATAACACTCAAATATTTTTAATATTTATGGAAAAACTAAAAAGACATAATTTCTTAGTTTTGTGTCATAATTACACTTGGCTTGCCCAAGATTAGCGCATGTCTTTCCTGCTTTTGTTTTTACTAGCTCTCCCCCTGCCCCTTTCCCGATCTGAAGCATTTGTTGAGCACAATAGAGCAGTATGTTGGGGTTGTTAGCTTATATTAAAATAAAAAAGAGAATTAAAATCTAGTGCACATTGACAAGAGTTAGTAAAGACTAGGAAAAATCATGTAAATGTGTAGAATCATTCAATGGAAAAACTTATGATTAAAGCTGTTGAATTTGGGAAAAAGTAATCGTTGACACTTAAAGAATTAGTGTAAGATACAGGGTAATATGAATACAACATTTCAATAGCCAGATGCAACAGTGTATAAAAATTTGTCTTAATGTGTAGAAGCTTGCAGCAATATATAGACCAGATTAAAAAAAAAACAACCCTGTCTGGTTTGAGCAGATCCATGGTCTTGTACATTAAAAGATATAAGTAACATCTGTCAAAGTCGATGTGCGTTGTTTTTTCCTAAAAATAGACCTTGCTTACCAAGGATGAGGAAGAACTTATCAAAGTCTTCAGCACTCTGTAAGCCTCACTTAAGGAAAGTTAAGTTTCTGGTCTGAGGATAAGCTTTTTTCTTTTCACTGGTACTTCCTGAGTTGGGTTCGTACTGTTTTTCAGTACACTTGTAAATTATTAATCATGTCATAGTGCATAAGGCACTTGTCAAACACAGGGGCAGTCTTTTCTCCCAGGACAACGAAATATAAAATGTATGGTAGATACTGTACCTATTAAGAGAAATTGATCTGCTAAGAAAAGAGAAAAAAAATATATACTGAGTCAGTTATGTCAGTGGTTACTTCCGAGTTTAGATCCTGGTTCTGGAGCACTTAGGCATATTCTTAAATCTTGCCTTCAGCAGTTACTTTGAGAAGAGGTGTATCTGAGTGCTAGTAAGAATTGACCTGTTAAAGCCTGGGTTGTTACACCTGTAGTCAGAATTGGGTTCTGAAAGCATTGGTAGGAACAGAACTTTAAACAGTCATCTTGCCCTGCATCATCTGTTGCTGTATGTTGCTTATTTTTTTTTTCTGATACTGTGCCAATGTATATATTACTTAACTGCATGGTTAGGGACGACAACTCTAATGCAGAAAATGGGGAAGATGCCTGCCTAACAGTTTGAGAAAATTCTGTAGTGTACAACAAGTGACTATCTTACTGTAGAATAAAAGGCAATTTTTCATGTTTAATTCATAACTCTTTGGCAGACTTCCAGTTTTGAGAATGTGGCATTCTTGTAAAGCCTGTTACACCACATCTCTTTCTTATTTGGTCTTATTCTTTTTCTGAACCATGTCTCTTTTGCAAACTATACTGTGAATTTCTACAGATTTGTGTTTAGAACATAACAGGTGTATATCAGAGATGAGTGACTGCATCTCAGTATCAGCTTTTAAAGACTGTCCTGCCTGTTCCAGAGCGTCACGTTCAAAGCAGCATTGGTTCACCACTTCTTTCCATGGAGGTGGATGAGCTGAGTCATGTGGGGCTTATGGTGTGGGAATTTCAAATGCAATTTTGAAACCCAAAAGAGTGATGCCAGCTGAGGAGCTAGGCTCTAGCTCCTGTCTGCTTTGTGGGAAACGCAAACTGCAGATCCCGCTTTTGAAGAGAGAGTGTTTGTTGCACTATCCTTTCCAAAAATGGCTCTTTGCTCTAACTTTTAGGCAGTTTGCATCCAGCTGCTGCCCTCTGTGCTGCAATGGCTGCTGTCTGTATATATGTATATGCTTGTGTGAATTGGTGTATTTTTAAATGAAAAGTGGTCTGTGCTCAGAATGATCCAAGATACTGGAATTAGTCTCTATTTGTGAAAAATGCAGGCATTTTAGTAATCAGTTTTAATCCTAGGTACTGCAGTTTTTAAAGTTCCCGAACTGTACCTATTGTAAACTCTTTGTCTGTTTCACGCAATACTTGTTTAGTCTTTTTTGTGTAATTTAACCGTTAAATTTAGGCATGGAGGATTGCATGTTACATTTTGAAAAATTGGTTCCTCACAAAATTAGGATTAGAAAAAATGTACTTTACTACAGTGAAACTGACCTTAAGACTTACTCAGAACACCAGTAAAAAAAATAAAAATCACTTGTTGAGAAAAGATTAGTCATTCACTAAAGTCAAATGAAATAATATAAATAATTGTAGAGTGTGTTCTTTTTGTTTGCTTTTTTTAAACTGGATTGCCTGTTGAAATAGTCTTTAGTAGAAGTTTCACTGTATATTAAATGTATCACTGTATTGGCATGTGCGTGTGGTTTACATATGTGTATATATAGTATTTGCACTTTAGATCAGACTGGAGAAGATATACACACGTGTATTGTATGTTCTACAAACAGCACACAGTACAAACCTGATAACCTGTGCCCTTTATGTTTTGAGCATTATCATGCAAAAGTCTTTTGCCAAAACTCACATTTTTTTCCTATTGCAGTTGAATGCACATTTGTCAGAATGTATTAATGCCCCAAGTACCTGTAGTTTTAAGCGTTATGGCTGCACTTTTCAGGTCAGTATATAACAATTATACTTCCCAATTGATGAAAGTCTGCAAATAGAACCTAACTATTTGACATGAAAGTTCTGGACTTCTCTAGTCTCGGTTAAGAAAAAGTCATCCAATTGCACCAAGTGATTATGCGGCAGATGTTTGGTTTTGCATTTTAAAAATAAACAATATAAAAAGGCCACACATTCCTGCAGTGGTTTGGGAGTTCAGTTGTTAGGTACATCTTGTTGAAATAGGAAGATGATAGACATGAAGAACTTTGTCACTTAGTATTAAGAGGAAAGTCACTTTGTTCTTCAGAAAATATGCTAGTAACTTCAGTTGTTTCTATGAAAGTATTTATTTTCTTGAGCTAAGTATGTTTATATTTTCTCTCATTTGTGTGTCTTAATATTTTTATGAAGGTTGAACATAGGTTAGCACACTTAAAACGTATTTTTATGTGCATTCGTATTTCTGTGTGCACATAGGTTTATAATCAAAGCATAACATGAAGTTTGTAAAAAGGAAAAAAAGTTTCAGATTTTAATCCTGGCTATATTTTAAAAAATAAGAAAAAGCCAAACCTCAGAGTTCAGTTTCAGTAGTTCTATTCCAGTCTCTTCCAATATTCTGCTTCCCTTACCATGTATCTTGGGGAATTTGGATGCTTATATAATGAAGAGATTAGTCAGCAAGTTTCAGAAACTGCTGACAGGGAAAAAAGAGTTTTTCAGACAGAGTGATTCATTTGTTAGCCCATGATAATGTAAAGAGACAAGAACTATAAGCAGCAACACTTCTCAATAAACTACTTCCTGCAGGTATTTTCAGGTTCTTAAATAATGAGCATTCAGCATTTTAAGTGTCAACAGTAATGCTCCTAGTGGTAGAACTGATCAATGCCGTAACCCTGCCCACTGTTATGTCGTATGTATTGCCATTCATTTTATGTATGTATATGTGTGCATATATGTACATATATCCACATATATATTTTTAGTATTTTATATAGAGTACATACCTTGAGGATCATTCAACCCTTTCAGTTGCTTTGCAGCGTACCTACCGTCAAAGCGAATATACTCTGCAGTGCAAAACACTTACTGAAGTAGGTGTAATGCAACACAGTACAAATAAAGTAATATGGTCTGCATCTTATGTACTCTGTATATGATCTATGTGTGTTCTGTAAACTTTTTATATAGTGGTTATTTGTAACAGCATTTATAGGTTGTGCAGAGGCAGCAGATCTGAGTATCATAGAGCAATCATGGTAACATCTTAGGATGACAAACAAGGCATTGTGGTACCTCTTAAAGTAGTTTATAAAGCTGGCAATTTGCAGTGATGATAAATTTATCAAATAATTGTCTTTAATACTCAACTGAGGGAAAACATAGTACTTGTGAAGCTGTTCATGAAATACAACAGAAGTTTTAAATTACGGTTTGGGGAATTGGACGTTTTAGGTTTTGTATGACTCGAGTTTTATTGTGCTTTATTTAGTGTAAAGCTACACGGAAGACTCTAAAATACAATTCATTTTCTAAATCTTGTTCGTCTTTATTGTCGCTGACGTATTAAGCACACTGGATGGAGATACATGGCAGTTGTATAAAACACTTGCTATATTAAATGTATTCCTGACTTATAAATTCCCAAGTAGTTTCTCTTCGCTCTACAGTTCTGCAACATGCATCTCTGAACCAAAATATGTAGTGTTGGTTCGATGTCTTGATATACTCTTTCTTTGTAGGTTTAAAAGAAGTGGAATTGGCTAAAATGTATAAATTCTTTGTTGTCACAGGGAACAAACCAACAAATTAAAGCACATGAAGCCAGCTCAGCAGTGCAGCATGTTAACTTATTGAAAGAGTGGAGTAATGCTCTAGAAAATAAGGTATATCTTCTACTCACTTCTAATTTTCATTGATTTCTTTAAATCATATACAAGTACTGGAAGAAGCGCTTTTTTTCTGTTTAGCAGCTGTTCAACAGTACAGCTAAAGCACTGGTAGGCCACAAAAGCAATCAAGCCATTTAGCATATCTAGTACCTTTGTTATAATAAAATGCTATGAGAAACTTGGCCTTGCAACTCCATACAAAATTTTCCTGATTGGTAACTTAATTAAACCACTTTCTTCACATAGATAAACAGTCCAGTATTAAATTTCCTCTCTGAGTTACGCCTTACAAAAGGGAGGGTTCAGAAAGCTATGGCAGCACTATGAGCTGTATTTCTGCTACCTCAGTATTTTCCCATCAATAACATTCTTAGAAATACCATGTAATAAACCAGTTATTTATTTTTGTTCTTGCTCTCCAAACTTAATGACCTGCAAAGGTTAATTAAATTAAACATATTATAGATGGGCATGATGATTTCTGCTCTAGTGCTAGACTACAGTGAAGTTCATGTTGCAGTGCTTCCTCGAGACTCCTGGTTTTGGGTTCTTTGGGCTTTGGGAGATGCTGGAAATCATATCAATATCAGCTACGATCTTGTAAATCACTTGAATGACTTAGTCATCTGTTCTACAAATAAAATTTAAGGCTTTGATGTTAAATATGCAGAACTTCAGAAGCAACCATTGTTTTCTTAAATCTTTTTGAAAAAGTTCTACGTAGCCATTAAAATAATACTTCTGTTTTTTGGGAGGGGGCAAAAAAATTCCAGAATTACTAAACTATTCTATAAATGAAGGCTGAAAAGCCAGGAGCCCCTTCAGGTTTTTCTAGAATGAGTTAAATCAGAGTAACAATTCCGGTGTAAGCTCAGTGGCAGTTAAGACATGTGTGGCTTGCGACTTCTGTCGTCTCACAGCAAACCGCTAGGTCAAGTTTAGCAAACTCTGTCTAGAAAGTGTATTCCCTTCTTGGCCTACAGCGATCTCTCCCACACATGGGTTTCCCGCAAGGTCCTGCAGCCGCAGGAAGCATAGTTTTAAAGCAGAAGTTAACAGGAACAGCAAAATAGCATTTTGTCCCCAGCACGTTTCTCCCTGGACTGCTTGTTTTTGAACTTGAAGCCCCTGAAGGAAACCGTTGAACGTGGGAGAGGTCCAGTGTAGTTTTTTTAGCTAGAATTTTTACTACATGTATAAGTCTTAGTGTGATGATCAATAACAATACTTATGTTTGCTTTTGTACTTGAATCTCTTGTTAATGTAGGATCTGCACATTTTTCGATTTTAACAGGTACAAATTCATATCCTTAGTTCTTTTTTCATTAGTCTCATTAAAACGATACAATTTATTTTACATCATAGGAAAAAATCACGTTCCCTGTGACTTCTAGAATAGATCATGTTCTGCCTTTGTCAGTGTCCTGAGAGGTGCTTTGTCATTTAAAAAATGCCCAGCAGTTCTATGTTTGTCTATTATAGAGCTAGAGAATACACACTTTACTATTCTTTTATGTTCAATTTTTCTTTTAACTTTCATTTAGGACATAACTGCTTATCATTGTTTGTCCATTTTTTTTTCTTTTCACTTCCTGCTTCGTAGACTTCTTCCTATACATAATAAAGAGTTGAATCACTGGAAATCCCAAGACTGTGCCAAGTTACCAGAACAGCTAACCACATATCATGTGTCAGTGACTTTATTCTAGGGGAGGGTAACAAAATGATTTGTAACTTCATTGTTGTTCACTTCTTTGAGGAAAAAAAAATAATCAGTGCACTGAAGAACAACAGCGCAAAGTTAACTTAGCTGCTGAATGTCACAGAAGTCTCAGCCCTGCTGAAGTCACTGGTTTCTGCAAGGTTGAGATTTCGTTAGGGGTACTCGCTGTGATATGTATGGAGGGGAAAGGAGAACTTGCCTTCTCCCAGTCACCATGTTCTTTTAACAGTTCTTGAGGAATATGCAAGCTGAAAGTCTTCAGAGCTGCAAAGCTTGTGCTAAGTTATGAGTTTGGTATTTGAACGGTGTTGACAAAGAGTAGTAAGAGAAGGTCAGATGTAAAATCTTGAATCAAAACTTTGTGGGGCGAATTAAAATTCAGTGTTTTTGTTCACTCTGTGATGGGACAGACTTGCAGACTGAACTCCCACGGGTTTTGTGATTTGGAGATAATGACTTAAACGTAATTTTGTGGCTTTGTCACATTCTTAAAGTAATCTGGTATAAATTCAATTTTCTTTTTTAATATGTGACTGTCTTTTAATCCAGTTCTTTGTGATGTAAGAGAGTTTCTTCAATGCTTTTTAGTAAGCAATAATAAGCAATAGCTTAATTTGAAAAACAGCTGAATAAGAGCATGCTTTATCCTAGCAATATTTCAAATATGACAAGGAAGCAAAGGAAGCTGATTGACTGCAGTTGATAAATAGACGCTGTGTTTCCTTTACCCTGTTTTTTAACTGAGGTTTCAAAGACTTATGCCAGATGCAATTAGGAAACTATATTTAGTGTTAAAGATTTCTTATTCACAAATTACCATCAAACTAGAATTACGGAGTTAGCAGTGACAGTTCTGGGTGATTAAGGGCTGCAGGACATAATTCTGTTTTTCTTGTGTTCTGTAGAACTGCGTGGAAAATCTCAGTACAAGACAGGCCCACGTATTATAATGTGTACAAAAATGGAAATGTAATGCTAGTGACACAAAGTGTAACTGCCTTATGATTGGGAGGCCTGGGGAGGAAACAATGAGAAAAGGGGATGTAAGATAGCAATTAATGAAAGAACTCTGATTCATTAGGGAAAACGACGACACAGAAAAATTAAAGTGGCTACCCAGCAGACCTGAAATATGTGGGAGGCAGGGCTATTAGTTTAAATTTAAACTTCTGGAAAATTTTCTCTAGTGCCTAGGCATGCGTTCTTTCAGCCTCGAGATTGGTTCTCTCTCTGCACTGGCAAAATGAGCTTTGTCTCATTTGTTTTGAGCCTCTTCTGCCAGTTTTTCATATGTAAAATTGAGAATCCCTGTAGGTGTGTGTATGCATGCATGCTATGCTATACTGAAAAGTAGGTGAGCACAAATACTATGGTATCTGTATATTTTTGGGCCCCTGTCCAATGAACTTGCTGAATGCCTGTGGACTTTTGCAGTCCATTGTTTAGTTTAGGCTAGTATAGAGATTGGGATTACTTACTTTTTTAAAGAGGCTAGCGCCTTGACTCTAGGAATGCAGTGACACTCAAGTGATTCCACTGTGTCTGATTAGAGGGCAGTTAAGGTGGTGGAATTCTACAGTGGTACCCATGTCAGAGTTAAAAATGGCTTGACCTCGAAATAGTATCTGTATTGGGAGTGGTGGTGTAGATTTTTGAGGGAACATGAAGCATCCAAGTAATTGGTCTTAATGTGGAATGTTTATCAAGATTTTCATGGGTCAAAAATAGTGCTGCTTCTTATGCATATAAAGATCTATCTGTGTAACTAGTCAGGGCGTGTCCAAATGTCATTTTGTGTCAAGGGTTTGTTTTCTGCGTTTTTGCAGCTGAATAATCTTGCATGGGGAGAAAGAATTTGTGGTTGGTTAGTTGTTTTTTAAAAAAAAGGCAACCCACCACCACAAAGGAACCCCCTTCCCCAAACAACATCGATGAACAGAGCACAAAATAGTGTGAAGGAGAGTACTTACTGTATAACTTTCATCCCCAAGGAGACAGGGTATACGATATTCTTCGAACAAGGCTCATGTTTTAAAATCAGAATGAGTCACTAATGAATGAATTCATAAAATGTCAATACAGAGAGAGAATATAATCCGCAGCCTATAGCTCTTTAGTCTTCTCTACTAGTAGGTACCATTGGATTTTCCTTCAAATGCATGGATCCCTTCTGTATTCACTCATTTCAGGAGTTTTCATCACCATCGCATTCTGTGAAGCCAAGCCAGTCCCATGCAGATGATGATTTTCCTTGAATTTGCTATAGATCAGGGTAGATTGGAGTAGGTGGGGAAGAGAAATGCTTCCTGTTCCCAACTAGCGTTTCAGCTGCTCGGCTTTGCTCTGGTATCCCTTCTGTATAGGGCTCGAGTTCTAAACACTGATGTAGAGCTAAATAGGCTGTTTCTTCTAAACTCCAAGCAACTCCCAAGTCAGTTAGTGGAAACCAGGAAACCAAGCCATTAAATAACAAACTGAATAAAGAAAAGATTATGCTTAAACACAAGTTCTTTTGCTGTTTGTGTATCCCATCTGCACTTTCATTAGCCAAAGTTGTACCAGGACCACACTGTGAAAGTGCAAAAGTAGCTATCAGAAGGTTGGGGTTTGTTTGTTTATTTGCAAGACATGGAGAGAGATTTTACTAGGATCTCACCCCTTTCATGTGTGTAAGATAGTTTAAAACTAACAGTTATAGGTATTTTTAATAAACTTTGGCAGGAGTAATTGTAGAATTTTTTCCAGGTGGCCTTGCTCCAGAATGAAAGTTTGGAAAAGAACAAGAGTATACAAACTTTACATAATCAGATTTGTAGCTTTGAAATAGAAATTGAAAGACAGAAGGAAATGCTGCGGAATAATGAATCTAAAATACTTCATTTACAGGTAAGAAATTTAGAATCTCCCCATTAAAGCAGAAATGGTAGTATCTTCTGTTCTGTGCCTTTACACTTGTGAAGTGAGGAGTTCTAATTAAAAAGGGGGGAGAGAGTTTAACTTGCTATAAAGCTATTCTGATTTTTTTTTTTTGTTTCTTTCTGGTCAGTAGCTGGTTTGTTGTGTTTGTTGGAGGAAGACACTTCACTAAAATACTGCAGTTGCCTAGCCTACGTTAAAACCAAAACACCTGTTTAAAAAAGGAGAAGACTGAAAGTAAAATTACAGATATTATGTGAAGAATAATCATAATTATTTTTTCTTATCTGCAAAAAATAACTGCTCAAGGTACTACTGTCAAACTGGAGGACAAGATTAGCACCTTAAAAATGTCATATGTATAATGTATATTTCTTTTCTACTTGTTGGTATTTTAACAAATATTAATCATAAGTGAGATCAGTCTCATGTGGAATTAAACTAAATGTAGTACAATGTATTTGAATACACTTTTTAAAATCTGTTACTGTTTTCCTCCTCCTGATGAAAATGTGTCTAATTATTGCTTTGCCAGTAGGTCTGAGTTTCTTATTGTGTGGTATGAATCACCTGGTCACAAGCCAGCACCAAACTAGAATTCCTCTGGATGCACTAGCATGGTGCTTAGCCCAAGCTGAAATTCTTTACTTTGCATTCAGAGCTGGCTTGGGAAGTGGATGCTGGGAATTTGTGTCAGTTTGAGTGATACTAACCACAATTAAGGAAGCCTCAGGACATACATAGCAAGCTATTGTGCAGGTATCGTTTACACATTATTTTAGTATGCCTGCTGCTAGAGTATCAGATACCTGCTTTAGCATCCAGCTTAAAGGAATGTAAATAAAATTATCTTTCTTGCTCACTATTTACTTCACATGCTAAACTGCAAATGTCAATAATCAAGAAAGATAGGAGTACCTAAAGTAGAGTATGGCTAAAATTCAAAGGGTAGCACGTTCAAGAGCTTAGAGCCTTGAGACCCTCAATGTTGGTTTATAAGGAAAACTCTTAAGTTCAGCAACAGCAGCATTTCACCTGATAGCCCTTATTTCTTTCCATGTTTTGCCGACGTAGTAACCAGTTTAGCCTGCCTTAGTCATTGTTATTTGGTCTGATGGTAGCCTGGGACGTGGCTGCATGCTTACAGTATTGCATTCTGGCATTGGGAAGCTAATCCTTGTAGGTATTGATATTGCTGATTGTATCTACCAGGAGGTAAGTTAATTTGTAAGCCTGGGATCTTTACGCATGCTGTCTCGGTAACCAGTGATGAGAGGGTTAAGGGAAAAAACCTAGAGCAGAGTGTTTTGTGATTGTCTTGATGACATATTGCAATATTGTTGATTTCCTCAAGCTATAAGAGTCTTAGCAAAATCAATTTTCAAATGGTTTATGTTTAGCGGGAAAAAAAATAAGCAGAAAAAAGATTGTTGGCAGATTCCGACTAGTGGCTTTTTCATGGTGATAAGCACTGGAGTGGATGTGTTTTGCTCTTTCCCCCCCCCACTTTTCGCCAGCTATTTTAGTATAGTTATTTTAAGCCAAACTGTGTTTTACAGCTTTTTCAAGCTGATTCCTTCCACTTACTGGAACTTCATGGTTCGGTCAGGTTGTTAAGGGCATCCTAGAAACACACCTCAACTTGGTTTTGCCTGGACAATATGGTTAGCCTCCTGTTGCCTACTAGGAGTTGAAGAAGTTGTTACCTGGTGTGAGCCATCCTTTTTCTGGGTTGCATTGAGCAGCCACGGCTGTACAAGAGCCACAGATAATTCCCAGTGCAGAACTAGCCAATTCAGGTCTGGACAAGCGCTACTTGCTTAGTCCCCAAGTCCTATGCGTGCTAGTAATTTCTAGTACAGTTTCAGTATCAGTTGTCATGTAGCCTTCTCTGGCCTGGGAACAGCTGTTTCACTGAGCACAACTGGGATCATCTGCACTGCAGGGTGTTTGGAACAACCAGTGTAAATGCATCAGAGTTGTCTGGGCACCAGCAGGAACCTCGGCCTTGAGAGGTTTTGATTCAAATTAATTCTGTATGTACCAGTCTCTAGGGAAAGTGTTTTTACCAAGAGAGTATGTGGTACTTTTTCGAGTGCTGTCTTGTGGAAAGGAACTTTCACATCCAGTATCCAGTCTTCCTTAGGAGTATATGGAGGCATATTAGTAAGCCAAGTCTTAAGCTGGGTGTGGACATATGAGGTACTTAAAGACAAAAGAAACAATGGCCTTATGAACATAAAGTCATTTGATTGGTAATACGTTCCTTCAAAGGATGAGGATGTATGTTTTGTTTTTCCAGTCAAGGAGTACCTTTGGTTCCTTTTCTAATGTGTTCTGTATCTTTTCAATTTTGCTCGGATCAGTTGCAATGAAAAGGTCCATTAAGATTATTTGAAAGAGAGAGAACTGCAAATATAACTTTCTTCAGTTCCTCATGACATTTTCTAAATTCTTTTAGTAATAAGAGTGCTAAAATTCTGGAAATTGTTTATTAGAAATACCAAACAAAACCTAAATGAAAATCAACATCAAGAAGAGCTTGCAGTGATTTGCCAGGCATATAACTCTGGATTAATGATCTGGAGAGGTCAGTTGCTGGAATAAAAAGTGCATGCAGAAAATTGATATCTACTTGAAAATTTATGAGTACAGTGCGAGACATCTGTGTGCTTTCTAATGGAATAATTAGAGTGAAAGTCTCCACTGCTGCATTAAATTCAGATTTAGTACATCAGTATCTCCCAGCATGAGGGAGGCTGACTCCCTGTAGGGTAAAAAGATAGAGATCCGACTGCTTTTTAAAAACAGAATACAAGTCTATTTCTGATTATTCCGTATCTCTTGAATTCTCACAAAGAGGTACAGGAGATAAAATACTACACATTTGCTGACGTGTAGTAGAAGCAGCTAAAAAACAGAGTTGGTTGTGCATGTACAAAGGTACAACGTTGCACGCAGGTTGATGGAGAGAAGTTCGTCCCTAGTAACAACTTCTAGTAAACTTCTTCCAAAAGAAGAATAACTTACAGTTCTTCTGCGTCTTTACCACTTTCCCAATTAATTTAAAAATGTATTCATTTTGTTTGATACTACGTTAGTGCCAAGAGATCCCAATGGGTAATTAGAGCATCTCTGTGTGAGGCACTGTACAAACCCACAACCATGTTACTGTTCTTGCTTTGGAGAGTTTGTGTTTTCTGTGAGTAGAGGAAAAAGACGAGACTTGGGCACAACCTGAGTTTGCTTTTGCATGTTAACTGTGAACTAATGGCCCAATCTTGTGGCTCTGCTCTTTCAGCATTCATTCAGGCCATTCCATCATGTATTACCTTTTATATGTATAGCTAACAGCCCTTCCCTAATTTATTTTCTGATTACCATCAGTCCAAGTGAGAAGGTGTGACTGTGTTGGTAGCTGTTGATTAGTACGTTCAGGCAAGTTGCTTAATCTATTCAATGGGACCATGCCCCTGCATTTATGATTCGGTACACAGCTTTCCTTCACCAAGCTGTAATTTTGCAAGTGAGATATATAAGCTGTTTTAAAACACCAACTTAGAAATAAATAGTTAATCTTGAAATATGTTAGATTACTCAGTGGTTTTGAGACACAACAAAATATAACACTCCTAGAACATTATTTTGCTAGCTGGTTTATCAAATTGATAGCCTTCAATTAATTGTTACAGACTTTCAGTATAACTGAAACCAGGTGATTAAAAGCAAATGCCTAAAAGGGGAAATAAAGGTTGCATGAGGCAGAAGGGTTTTCCACATCAGTGGGGAACATTGAATCCACATGGCTAACCAGAAGGCAAATGCAAAATAACTTTATTTTCTTGTTTTGTACTCAACTGCAATTTTTTTTAAGAAGTGAAAAATCATTTTTATACATGTTGACACTGTATAACTGTAAAGTTAGATTTGGAATTTAACTGTAGGTGGTAGCAAAAGTAGTTTCTTGTCTCAAATATTTGTGTTATCATTTGAACTTCACAACTGATTATGGGGTTCTGGCTAAAATTCCTGCTAGTCCATATTAGCTGTGATAACGTAAAGTGCCATATATTTCTTGCATCAGATTTGAGATAGTCTGGGAAATATGTTCTGCTTTATATTTGTGATATACGAGGTGCTTGCCATGTCCCTCTTTCAGAGAGTATCAGCCTTTCTGTGTATTATTTTCTTGAGTATTATATTTCATGCCTTTCCAAAATCAACTATTTTTTTTTTTCTTTGTTTTCTTAAAAAGACTCAACCAGCACCTTCAGGACATGTGGCTTACTCAATTTAGGGAGTAAGAGTGGGAATTTTAAAAGTGCTTAGGGGATCAGAAGTGGTAGTTTTGCTTACACTCTTGAGGGCTTCTGCTATGGTTATGGGCACATGATAGCTTAGGTTTTGATAACTGATTTGTGTGAACTTGGAGCTTGCTGATGCCACTGTATCTGCACACATACGTACTCCTGCTCCATGTATGCAAGAGTACTGATGTTTTTGTGGAGGGGTAAGTTGTTTTGCTGTTACCCAGTGATAAACACATGCACATGAGCAGCCACTTGTTTCACACCATGGTAAGTTGTGCACATACTTTGTTGCTTAAGTACTCTGACACAAAACCCAACAAATATCAGCCCTTAATATCAATATAGAGACACTAAGAATATTGTTCTTGCATTTAAAGTTTTTTTTTTCATTTAGACAAGACCATATTAACAATTCTTTTTTAAATAATCGTGTTGATAATCCTGATAGTGTTTTAATATTAATACCTATGCAGCACTAAAGATTTTTATAAGTGTTTTATAGTTGGGCTATTAATCTAAATTTTCAAGGTTTGTGTTATTAAAATATTTGGCCTAAATGAAACTTCTCTATATTGGAAATGCATCTTATTACTGATATATAGTCCTTGTTTAATTTGCGTAAATTAATGTCTTTTTCTTATTTTGACCCATAACTTACTGTTTTATAAAGCGAGTGATAGACAGTCAAGCAGAGAAACTGAAAGAACTGGACAAAGAAATCCGTCCCTTCCGACAGAACTGGGAGGAGGCTGACAGCATGAAGAGCAGTGTAGAATCACTCCAGAACAGAGTGACTGAGCTGGAAAGTGTTGATAAAACTGCAGGGCAAGGAGCTCGAAATACAAGTAAGTGTAAGCAGAATGGACTGAAGTACTCAGCAGCACTGTTAAGAGCAAAAAGATGTCCTTTGAATGGCACTCCCATCGTGATTTTTGTGTGGAAGCATCAATAATGCTGATTCTTCTGATTTTTTTATAATAGGGAATGGCATAATCCAATTGTTGATGATGTGGCATTGCTTCAGTGCTGTTACTTAGGCTTGATTCTTGTCTTTTATTTTGTTTTCTTGACCTGTGTCTTGATTACAGTGTTGGTTCATTGTAAATAGTTTCTCAACTGATCTTTGACAGCTAATAGCTTTCATCAGCTTCTTTAAATATGGTCTTGGTATTCTGACAAATTTTCTTTTATTACTCCTCTCCCCCATGAATGGATCACTGGTGTGATTAATCCACCTGAAACCACCCACCCTGTACCTGTTGGAGGTACATTTGATCCAAAGAAAACTGTAGGATCTGCCTGCAAATAAGGTTATTGTTGTGCTTACCGAAGAAAGTGAAAACTGAAGTTTAGCAAGATAGTGTAGATCATATGTAAGTGTTAAAATGACTGGGACAAAGAATTTTGTGTTTAAATAGATCTGTATAAAATAGGCCTGCCTTACGAATTCGTCTGCTTCTCAGTATTGTATGTTGGCCAATTTTGCCAGTGTGCGAAGACAAGAGTAACATGTTCATATGAGGGAGAGGGGACATAAAAACCAGCCCTCCCTCCAAACTAAAGAAGTGGCCATATAATGCAGAGCTAAGCTTGAATTTTCTGTTCTTTTCTGATGAATTTTAGAGAAGATATCAGCTCTACGCTTCTGAGACAAGTAGTGTCTGAGTATTTCGAGTGATCAGTGGTGCTTCTGAATTTCAGAGGGATTATGTAGGATGTGTGACTACTTCCAAGGTCTTTGCTGCTGATAGCAGTCTACAGATAATGCTAGCAAAGTCTCCTCTCAAAAAAGGGAAGCCTCTGTAGTTATATTGCTTAGTGACCAAACAAAATTTGTTAGGTGATTTGAATGTTTGAATTTTACTGCATGTGTGATTAGCACCTGTGTTTGTAAAATTCCCAGTTAAGCTGCATACTAGCTGGCCAGCTATTGTCTGTGGAAGTTATTCACTGGTGACCGAATGCACTTTGATTCTTGGGAGGAAAATGTTTGCATATAGAACAGCAGCACTGGCAAATGATTTTTACAGTCTTTAGGGGAAAAAAAAACACTTTTCCCACTCCTGTCCTTTCTGTCTCCTAACAGGTCTGCTGGAGACACAGCTGAGCAGACATGATCAGATGCTGAGTGTTCATGATATTCGGTTGGCTGACATGGACCTCCGATTCCAAGTTTTAGAAACTGCCAGTTACAACGGAGTGTTAATTTGGAAAATTCGAGATTATAAACGTCGGAAGCAAGAGGCAGTTATGGGGAAGACTCTGTCCTTGTACAGCCAGCCCTTTTATACTGGGTACTTTGGCTACAAGATGTGTGCCAGAGTTTACCTTAACGGAGATGGCATGGGAAAGGGGACGCACTTGTCACTGTTTTTTGTCATAATGCGTGGAGAATATGATGCGTTGCTTCCTTGGCCCTTTAAACAGAAAGTGACTCTCATGCTCATGGATCAGGGACCGTCTCGACGCCACTTGGGAGATGCTTTCAAGCCAGATCCAAACAGCAGCAGTTTCAAGAAGCCAACTGGAGAAATGAACATTGCATCTGGCTGCCCAGTCTTTGTGGCTCAAACTGTTCTAGAGAATGGAACGTATATTAAAGATGATACTATTTTTATTAAAGTCATAGTGGATACATCGGATCTACCAGACCCCTGACATACAATGGGGGAGGCGGATTAAACAGAAGACAACTCCATTTGGGGGTTTTGTATCAGTTTGTCTTCAATCAGAGGTCCTAAAGCTCACAGAACCACCTTGTGGAACAGATGGAAGAGTTTGAAGGCATAACTGCATAGGGTCCAATTGCGAAAGTAGCAACACATTAAGAAATCATACCATGGTATATTTTTTAATAGAACTAGCAACACTTAAGCTCTGAAGAATCACTTATCCCTCATGAGGATAATGATTATGGTCAGAGAGGATTTTTTTTTTAACTTATTAATGATCTAGTCAATTGGAGGTGAAAAGACATATACAGTATGTGCTGAATAAATTACTGACTTTTATTTCTTTAAGCTAGAATACAAAAACAAAAAAAACTTCACGTGGGCTAGCTGGAAATTGTCAGCATGTTAAAAGAAGAAATGATGAAGTAATGTTGCAATTATGATATTATTTGAAAAACTGAGGTGCAATCTTGTCTGAAATATAGTATATTGTCTTTTTAAGGCCTCATCTGGTCTCTGTTTTAATAATTACTTTGTCAGAAGATCTTGGAAAAGTATCCATGTCTTCTTAAAAGTATCTGAATCAAAATCATATTTTTATTTAAAGTTCTATTGTTACAGAAAACATTTTATTTTAAAACTGTTGATAGACTGATATTTCTTGGAAGAAAAATAGAAGATATCAAACACTGGTTATCACTTGTGATAGGAAAAAAAACTATTCAATTCTGTTATTTCTCTTTAGAAATGTAAACCTACAATATATGTCGTAGTTAATGACACTATTTCAAAATTAAGGAAAAATCACTCATGGATGCTGTGCATCATTATCAGATTTATAATTGTTTTCACCCTAAAATAGGGCATTTGTTGAACTTTGGAGTTCTAAACGGAATCCTGTACATTTTTTAAAGTTCTGCCCCATGCTTTCCAATCAAGCTATATATGTTGCACATTATGCTGTCAGCAGTATATAGTATTTTCAGTATTGGGGAGGAGGATTAGTGCTGAAAAAAGCCTGTATGTTTGTTCTGTACTAGCAGCCATTGCTTCTTAAGGACGAATCAGCGATGTCTTAATATAGTGATGGTGGCTTGCATGCGTACATGTGCCTTAGATGTGCTGTGCTGCTTATAAACCATGGCTTTTTATTCAGATTAATTCTGATATCTGAACTGGTAGTTTAAATGGACTTCAGGCATAATGTTTAGCCTTGTCTTCAGAGCCCTTAGGTACCTTGCGATATACAAAACAGAAGCCAAAGCCCGTTTCTTTGGCTTCTGGAGCTTCTATGACTTGGCCATGGTGGAATCCATCTTATTCAGGTGCCAAAACGTTATGCTCAGTGCTCCTATGGAGCTTGGAGTGGACAGTCTCCATGGCCACTGTGAAGGCGGGTGACATTTTTCCTCTAATGCCTGTGGTTGTAAGGTGGCATCACTTGAAACCGACCCATCTGAGAACTATGCGGAGCTGTGAATGTCTATGCTCATGACAGCTTTTCATAGCAGGCAGGCATCCTAACGGAATGCACGGGCTTCTTTCTTACAACGGCCTGAACTGCAGTGGAAAGCATTTGCTAGCCCTGAAACATGCTGATTGCAACCTGCTGTGTTCATCTGCTTCTATTTAATAGCCTGTGACAAGCAAGTCTAGAGACCTAGCCTGACTGTGGTGCTCTTTAAAATCCAAGGACCGCGTAAGCAGAGTGGACTTGCGCCACTGCGTTTTTAGCCAGCGTGGGCTTGAAAGAAAATGTTGCATCTGAGCCTTTTGAATGTCAGGTTGTATCAGTTTTCTGCTTTTGGAGGCATAGTCACAATTTTTGTCTAAGGTGCAGTTGAATTCATGCCTTTGTATTTCAGCTTGTCTGCCGTTGTCTTTTTTGGCTGTGCCTTCACACACAGTGCCTGCAAGAAGTATTTATGAATATACAATGCATGCTAAGTGGTCTTCATGGGTTTTCCAGGCACCTGCTAGGATACTGCCTGCTGCTGACCGTCGCAACTGTCAGTGGCAACTTGTCTTCCTTTTCTTGCCTTCCATTGTCCAGGTACTGTACTCCCTTTATGGTACGTAGCTGTCAACAGGTGCAAGCTCAAAGATGGAGGCATGTGCTAGCGTGTGATTCCTAGCACGGAAGGAGGACGTTCTGCACAAGTGATAAATATCTATAGATATACCCGCATCTATATCTCTAGATATAATTATATGGCACTTGCAGTTTTATGCAGGCTGCATAAGCAAACCCATCACGCTTCAGGGCGAAGGTTCGCTCAACTTGTGTCATTTTAATAATTGTGAATGTAGGCAGCTGAGCTTTTGTGTTTGTGCATCACAGAATTTTACTGAAAACAGGATTCCCAAGTGGAAATGTCCAAAGGACTCTCCTCCCATTGCTAATGCATATCTTGTAAACTTAAATGAAATCGTTTGGCCATCTCAAAACAGTTTATATCCTGTTTTAATGTGGGACTTGGAGGAGATTTCGAGTATAAGCAGGGCCCAGCATATTCTGCAGATTTGTGACTACAGTTTCCAACTCCTGTGACAGAATTGCGCTTCTAAATCCAGGCTCTTTAAAAGAGGAGGAAAAAAGAGTTTCCAGCCTTTGTGATTGAAAGAGGACTTTGAAACATGCGAAAAGTGTAAACTGATAGGGAAGTCTTCCTGAGTCTTCACAGCCTAAACTAGTAGCTTTAAGAGATCTGAATATCTCCTCTTGGTGGGATATTGACTCAGAAACTTCATAGAGAAGTTTAAATACGAACACTGCTAACTATATTAATGCCGATCACTGTAGCAGAAACATCAGTCACTGTTGTATTTCACAGATCTCTATGCTGCTTTCCACATCTCCCAAGTGCCAAAAGCACCAGCTGCCAGAATCTTCAGCTTCACTTGGGCAGCTTTTATAATGCAGTAATGTGCTATCAATATAAAAATATTTTTGCATATATGCTTTTTATCACAGTTAATAAAATGGAGGCCTACTGCACTTATTTTTTAAAACTACATGAAGCTGCCAGAGAATTTCCAGTTTCCCAGCCCTGCGTACTGTGAAATCCAGGATCTTGCTACACAAATGTAAACACCGCCTGCTGTGGAATACCTGAAGCCTTGACTGTAACACCCTTTTCTCTGCAGAACTCACGGGCCATCTCTGTAAGAGTTCTTACTGTGTACATAGAAATCGGTTTCCTCTGCTTTCCAGCAAGGAGTATGTAGCATTTTGTGAAAACAAGGCCACTGTATAATCTCTGAATTGAAAGGAAAAGATACCTGGTGCTTTACTCAACACTTTCAATTATTTAACCTTTTCCCTCATCACTGAAATGCCCTTTATCCTTGTTTCTGTATGTTCCTGACCCAGATATCCAAAGTTTTCTAGGGACTGTCTGTTTAAGGTGATTCATGGGGCAAAAGCCTGCCCCCACATATACTCCTGAACCCCAGCTAACACCAGTGGTGTGCTGTTGTTGCAGCGGGGTCCCAGGGTATTTGCGTAACTTTGAACAGAGTTTCTTCAGTTGAACCTTTTTTTCCTCTGCTTAGTAATCCTTAGCAGCGCACAACGGAAGTCTCTTGCTGGTATTCTTTCTTAACGATGACGCTCCGAGTTACGTACAAGCCTCTTCTGTTTCCAGCTTTCGCTAGGGAGATTCCAGTGTGTGACAATCTGGATGTTGCCCTTTTTGTACGCTCTTCAGCACGGGGTGAGCGCATCTGTTACCTAGAAAGTCTTGAATTCTAAACAGGATGAAACTATTTGGGTGTTTAAAGACCAACCTGCGATTATGATGCATGACCATGTCCGAGTTACATCTCTGATCGCATTAGAGGGGTCTTGTTTCAGTTACTGTCTACATGGTACACCTTCAACTGCTGACTTACGATATGCAATGTTGATTTCAGCCTTGTACTGTAAATGTTGTTTTTCACAAAGAGAATGTGCAATAGGAAAAGGGGATGGATGGGTGGCATAATTTTGACAGGGGAAGAAAAATGTTGTGGGTAACATGCTAGCTTTCCTATAAACATGAAATACAGTTTATTTCCTTTTCCCGTGGGTTTTCCTACTTGGAAGAGGAAAGTTGAAGACATGTGCCTGTTTCTGTGCCTGGTGAATTTCTCAAATGCGAAGATAATAGAGATTTGTGTTAGTTGTAATTCAAGTGTTGAACCCATGAATGTTCGGTTGTGATTGTGTCGCTCGTTTTTCTCGGCTTGCCACAATTATGGATTGTGGAGATGGAGTTTGAAAGCTACCACCTATTTGTATCTGTATTCCATCACGTGGGATAGGCATTTCACCAACAATGCAGGGTTTCTGTTGTTGTTCTGTTTTGTTTTTAAAACACTGGTGCTGTTTGGTCCAAAACAGAGAAGCGTGAAGGGAGTGACAAGATAAGTTGGCTGCACCGCAGAAAAGTGAAAAATGTGACTGCAGTATTGATGCCTTGATATGATTTAACTATGCAAATATACAAATAGGTGAGGGGGAAAAATTCTTGGGTTGCAGACCTAATCTCTTACTTTTTGCTCTGTAAATTACTCCTGCGTGTGTAGGTACATACATATACACACAGACATGCATGCACATCTATATGCAAAGTCTTTTCTTTACGTAGAAGTGATGAAGCAAAACCCTTTCCTCCAAGTTATACTTGATCAAGTGGTGCAAATATAACTTGCTGCTGCTAAGGGAGGATCCTGGCTAAGGGCAAGCTTTGGATTCACATCTTCCAGGTTCGAAGACCTGTATATAGCAAACAGTTTGCTTAGCCTTTCTGAAGACCTTGGAATGTCATCTAGGACGCACGTTCTTGCTCATACTCTGCTAAATTGGATATTCTTGTATTTTAAACATAATGATGAGCAACTTGTTAACTGCAAATTCTGCCCTTTAATTTGGGAACAAAAGGTGATAAAAAACAGCTGGACCTCTTCCTGGAATTCCTGTTCTGTTCAGTCAATACCTCTGTATTCTGGTTGACCTAGAAGTCACAGCTACTGCAATAAAAACGATTGGTTCGGGAACTCAGTCTGTCTGAGAGTAGGTTTCAGTGCTATGTGCAGCGTACTAAGCACTTTGCATCTGCAAACGTGTTCTCACATCAAGTGCTGTTTGTCTTTTCTGGAAAAAAGAAATCGAGGATGAGGTGTGAAGTGACCTACCCAGAGGAAGGAGATCTCCTGGAGCCGGGACTGAACGAGAGGTTCCAATTCCCTAGTGTTATCTTCACATCACTAGGTTTTACTCTCTTAGTAGTCTTGTCCCTTTAAAGGAACCAAAAAACAAGTTGACATACCTTAAAGACCCGCATCAGGACAGTAAGGGCTAGAAATAAACACACAAGCTGTCGTGATTTGGGGTCATGTGTGGATGGTAGCCCAGCCGTTACTCACGACTTGGCGGTGCTCTGCACAGCCTGCAGAGGGGAAGGCCAGCGCCGTGTGTCGGTGTGACCAACAGCAGCAAACGTGCGTCCTGCTCTACT